AATATTAAGGATTTACATAAGAATTTGATTTCGTAATGGATTTTAATGAATTTAGAAGGATTTTTCAAAGGATTTATAAATCCTACAAGATTTACAAATGAACTAATTACAGAAACCATTAACACTTTTAAATTCTTGGTCTAGTGTTTAGACAATCTAATTTATGAATTGAAAAAATATATTGTTGACTCATCACTCTAACATGGTATCAGAACCACAATAATCTAACAATCAGCTTCTTCTTCATTTTTCTAAATGACTCATCATTTTACCAATTTTATGATTTAGGATGACTGCTAAAGAAAAAAAGAAAAAAAACAAGTAGTGGTCGCTAAAAGCGGAGATACCTTCTCTATGACGAAGGATGGTGAGTGTTTCGTATCGGGCATGAAAGCAGTCAAGAAGACAGAGACAGAGATCTTGTCGGGAAACTTATCCATGGCCATGGATATGCTCAAGCCTCCAAAGCTATGACCAACGAGCACAACCTTCTCATCACTTGGTAATGAGCTCAGGACTTTCATCAATGGCTCAGAGTATTGTTCGCATGTGGTGATCTCAGTGATCGACCTGGTTGTGTCTATACCGCAAGCAGCTAGGTTTAAGGCGCTTACGCGGTGGCCCGAAGCCTCGAGTAATGGCTTAACCTTGTACCAACACCACGCGCCGTGGCCCACCCCATGTACCAGTATGAAGTGCTTCTTTTTCTCCTCACTCATTTCTCTTGATTGTATATTGTCTACTCTTCACAGTTCACACACTCACACCCTACAAATAATAAAGAGATTTTAAGGTGTATTTTTAGATAAACCATTTGTGGAAAATGTCACTTTCCTCTAGATTTTCAGGATCTCAGTATTTTATGAGTACAATTTCTGGATTTTGTTTTGGAGAAACATCACACTTTGAAGAAAAACTAATAATTTTTGGATTTATTCACAAGTTGAAAGCCCGATGTTAACTGCGACATAACGTATAATATAAATTATTAGATAATATCCACATTTGGAAAGAGGGAATAATTATACTCATGGACACTTTTTGTCTTTTTTATTTCAAAGGGGACATTTTGGTTTCTTAGACACATTTTTTTGTTTTTTATACAAAATGTGACAAAAATACCCTTTCAGGCACGCGTGTGGACAACAAACAAGTCTAAAACAATAATGCGCGAATCGTGGACATGATAATAATTTCTGAGATTGTTACAATAACTTATCGACAAATATTGTAAATATTTATTTTAACTACATACTTACCTATAGTAACATGTACACAAAGAGAATTCATTGCTAATTAGTCTTTTACACCCAAAAGTATAACGTACTGGTTTATTTAATAGAAGTATATCCACTTTTCTTTGATAATAATGTATGGTTACATTACTTCAGTTCAGTTTGTACAAATGTGGCATCATTTCCTTGAAAACTACATAGTTCATAAAAACCTACAAGAATTGCAAGAATTTACAAAATTAACAAAAATTCATTTTAACTACATAGTTGTCTAAGATAACATGTCCATAAAAACTTATAGTACATCAAAATTTTGTTAATTTTGTAAATTCTTACAATTTTTGTTACCTAATCTTGTGGATATGATATTGTGTACATGTTATTATAGGTAAATATTTAGTTAAAATAAATAATTGCAATATTTGTGGATAAGTTATTTATAACAATTTCAGAAACTATTATATATCATGTCCACAATAGCATGTCCACGATTACTTTTTTATTATATGTCAATTATTTTCATCAACCAATTTATGTTCACACGCATTATTGTTTTTGACTTGTCCACGGAAAATTGTCCACGCGCGTGCTTAGAGGGGTATTTTTGTCACATTTTGTATTAAAAACAAAGAAAGTGTGCATAAAGAACTAATGTGTCCCCCTTGAAATAAAAATGACAAAAAATGTCTTTGGTAAGACTTTATTAAAACCTCATGATTACAGTATTCGTACCATTGAGTAAATAAAAATGTTATACTATATATAAATTAGTTTAATCACAAGAATTTTGAAACTCATGTTATACTATATATAAATTAGTTTAATCACAAGAATTTTGAAACTCTGATAATAGTATGAGAATTTTAAAAATGCCATTTTTTTTACAACCAAACTATAAATTAGTAAAAAAACACCATTAGAATTGGTAATCCAATTCGGCGGCAAGTTATTTACATAAGAAAAATCAAAAGTTCGAGTACGTGCATAACGGGCTAAACAGTCCGTTTTTAAATTACTAGAACGAGAGACAAAAGATAACGAAAAACTCAAGAGACGGTCTTGGATAGTTTGTATTTGGTCTGACAAAATTGAGAATGCATGCCTCTCAGCTAGATTCATTACTATATCCACCAGGTCATAGCAATCAGTCTCAAAAGTATAACATTCTATTCTACTCTCCATCATGCATGACATTGCTTAAATCAGGGCTTCCATTTTTTAATGTAGCGGCGATCTCCTGTGTCGTAATCCTTTGGCCCCTAATAGAAAAGGAAGGTCACATTAGAAACATATCCAACCCAACCCTGATGTTACATCTCTATTCTTCCAGGATCCATCCACTTGACACCGAAAATGATTCGCTGAATGAGCCACTAATTGGAGATCCTTCCCCGAAGTGATCTCCACCTCCTATACACATATTTGTGCATATGTCCATGTCAAGAATTCACTCTCTGCCAACTTGAAAATGTCTACTGGTTCAGCTTCGATCTCTTGAAAGCATTTTTTATTCTGTGATTTCCAAATATACCACATGAGCCATAAGAACATTTTATATTCACCATTAAGGGTATCATCTGTCTCCATC